GTGGATTTCACAAGTTTCAAAATCTCCCCTCCCCTACCGCATCCCAAAACCAGTCCAGCTCGTCCCTGCCTCCCTAACCTGTTCTTCCTCCCACCTATCCCCTCCTCCCACCTCAAGCCGCACCTCCATCTCCTACCAACCAACCTCATCCCACCCCCTTGACCTGTCCGTCCTCCCTGGACTGACCTATCCCCTTCCTAACTCCCTACCTACACTCACCTTTACTGGCTCCATCCCCGCCTCTTTGACCTGTTTGTTTCCTCTCCACCTATCCTCTCCTCTATCCCTCTTCTATCCGCCTCCCACTCTCTCCCTATTTATTTCAAAACCCCCTTCCCCTCCCCCTTTTCTGATGAAGGGTCTCGGCCCGAAACGTCAGCCTCTCTGCTCCTATGATGCTGCTTGGCCTGCTGTGTTCATCCAGCCCTGCACCTTGTTGTTTCGGATTCTCCAGCATCTGCAGTTCCTACTATCTTAGATTTTTCTCCTCATCTTTATCTTAAATGGATGACTCCCTTCTGCAGAAATTATGCTCTCTTGATCTAGACACAACCGCAAGGGGAAACAACTTCTTGTACCTACTCTTTAATCCCTAAGAATCCTATATGTTTCAAAAAGGTACCCTCTCTCCCTTCTAAACTCCAATGTGTACAGGTCCAACCTACTCAAATTCTCCTTATTAAAAATAAAATCTCTTGATACCTGGAAACAAGCTGCTGACTTTCTCTTGACTGCCTCCAATACCAGCATATCTTTCATTAGATAAGGGAACGAAAACTGTTCATAATATTCTAGGTGTTGTAGGATTGAGCAAAAATCCCCACTATTTAAAGTACTGGACAAAATGCTGGACTTTCCAAAGTATAAAGTACTGGACAAAACCCTCAAAACTTTTAAAAGAAAAAGGACACAGCTGGTCTGAGTACTGTGCGAACACACAACACAACCAGCAGAATGAAGATTGCTTTCTGGGAGTATTCTTCAGCCTGGAATCCAATTTACACCTTCTCGCTAAAAGAAAAAGCAATCAAAACTAACAGATACTAGCCCGAGACAACTTTTATACCTCTGGCTACAGGGCGCAGACATTGTGGGGCCTACAGAAATACTGAACATTGAACCTCAATCTAAACCCATTTGCACATGCTCTAACTATTGGAAAAGCAATTAACTTCAGAAGAACACATCTGCCAGCCCCATTCTCAGCAGTGTATGGCCTTTGCAAAACAAGATTCTGCATGAACAGCTTCCCCACAGGCATCCCCCACAAGCAGCTTTGGAACCAAGAACCACAGAGGCCGAACCAAGAACCAAGAACAGTAAAGCCAAACCAGGGGCCTCAAAAGGATAAAAGACAACCAAGAGGGGGAGGCCAACCTGAAGCTTCACAAACAAGAGTTATCAGACATTGGCTTGTTCTGAACCAAGAGAACCGACGGCAATCGACCGTGATCAGCAAAACCAAAGATCGATAACTCCACGGAAAGAAACCAACTCAACCGAAACCACGAGTCCTCAGACATGACCTGAAGTGAAAACCAGGCTCGCAGAACCAGCAGAAAGTGAAAAAAAGTAGGTACTCACCCGATAGATCCAATACGCACCTACCGGCATCAGAGGATTCAACCCAAACTGAAAAACTTATGCAGTCCAAAGTCTTCATCCAGGCTATGGCTACAGTGAGCAGGAACAGCCAGGTGCACTTCAAAGCTGCATTTCTCATGCTGAGCTTAAACTCCCAAGACCCCAAAGTTCCAATCTAGCTAGCAGGGAGGGGAAGGTGGGTGCTGACTGTGCATCGGGACCCCAAGGTAGGAATTCTGATTAAACACTCTGCCATTAAAACATGTTGCTTTCTGTGTGTGTCAGTGGGATAAGGTTCTAATCGTGTTAATCTAGTAAATAGTGTAATTTAAAGTATGACAGTTTTCTGTATAATTAATTCTGTCAATTGCATTTACCTATTTTTCTTGTATTATATTTGGCTCTGTATTTTAAATAAATGAAGAGATTCTTTTTCCCTGAAACTCCTGTCTACTGCCTTTTCATTTCACATTCCCTAAATAGGTCCAGTGTACAGAACCAGGGATCTGGGAGTGATTCAAGCCGCTTAAAAATCAGAAAATAACAGATTGCGAACCAAAACCCTATGGTATGACTAGTCCCTTGCATCATTTTAGCAATACTGCACTTTTTTTTAAACTCCATTCCTCTGAAATCAAAGCCAACATTCCATTTGCCTTCCCTATTACCCATAGAACATGAATGTTGGCAATTTATGCATGAGGACTCCTAAATCCCTCTGTTCTGCAGCTTTCTACATTCTCCCTCCATTTAAATAATATTCAGCTTTCTGTTCTTCCTGCCAAAGTGTATGAACTCCCATTTTCCCATGTTATATTCCATCTTTAAGTTTTTGTCCAATCACTTAATAGGTCTATATTACTTTGCAGCCTCTTTATTATCATTCTTGTGACTTGCTTTCCCACCTATTTGTGTGTCATCTGCAGATTTGTCAATAATACATTCATTTCTGTCATCCATGTTATTATTAATATATATTGAAAATAATTGGGACTCTAGCTCTGACTCTGTGGCACACCAATAGGTGAAGATTGCCAACCTGAAAATGACCTCTTTATCTCAACATACTGTCTTCTATTAGTCAGCCAATCCTTTATTCATGCTAATAAACTCCTCCAACACTGTGGGCTTATCT